ATCTATTAATTTTTGTTATTTTAAGTTATTATTTATGAATCTAGTTCTATATTAACTGTCTCAATTTATTATTTTTTAATAAGAAGTGTTAGGGACAACTGACAAATGGTAGAGAGCCGTAATAGTATAATGACCCAAATGTGTGAAACTTAATTTTTCTTCAAAATTCAGTGGTATTGAAAGTTTTTTTTAAATTATTTAAGAATTTAATTTTTTAATATTTAAATAATAATAGACTTGTATTATTTTATTATCTAATTTAACCGACCATCTTTTTAAATAAAAAATATGATAGAATGATTCTTGATGCACCCTGTATATATATTTATACGGTCAAATTTTTATTTTCCCGACATCTATGGGGCGCCGTTTTATTTTTTATTCAGTAATTATTTTTATGTGTTAACAATAAAGTCATATTTTTAATTAGATACAAAATATCACACAAAAATTTTTATTTTGCGAATTAATAATATCATAGCAGATATTTTAAAATTAGATTTAATTTTTATGCCAAACTGATATTTTTAATTTAGCGAATTTAAATTTTCTGTTTCTTATATTTGTATTTTATTGCTCAATACGCATTTTTAATTCGCTAAATTAAAAATTAGATTTAATTTTTATGCCAAACTGATATTTTTAATTTAGTTAATTTAAAATATTTGCTTCTAAAATTTGTATTTTTTGCTCAACAAATATTTTTAATTCGATTAATTAAAAATATCCTATGACAATTTTTTAAATGTATTAAAAATGTCATAGCAGGTATTTTGAATTCGATTTAATTTTTATTTTATTAAATAAGCAGATATTTTTAATTCAATGTGATATTTTTAATTCCGACTGGTTGAGAGTTTGGATACCCCTGTTATTCCAAACGATATAAAAACCGACCCACTCCAACAACAAACTAACGCGCACTGTCCTTGTTCTGCACACGCTGGGTCAGTGCAACATCGGACTCACGTATGTCGTAGATCTCAGTTATTGTGCCGCCATCTAGCGATAAAATTATTTTGTAATGCCAGGGATGTCCAAACTTTCAGTCGGAATTAAAAATATCACATTGAATTAAAAATATCAGCTTATTTAATAAAATAAAATTTAAATCGAATTAAAAATATCTCCTATGATATTTTTAATACATTTAAAAATTTCTCCTATGATATTTTTAATTAAGCGAATTAAAAATATTTGTTTACCAAAAAAATACAAATATAAGAAGAAAATATTTTAAATTCAATAAATTAAAAATATCAGTTTGGCATAAAAATTAAATCTAATTTTTAATTAAGCAAATTAAAAATATGTGTTTGACAAAAAATACAAATATAAGAAACAGATATTTTAAATTCACCCTATTAAAAATATCTGTTTGGCATACAAATTAAATCTAATTCTTAATTAAACGAGTTAAAAATATGTGTTTAACAAAAAAAAACAATCAAAAGAAGTAAATATTTTAAATTAAATATATTAAAAATATCAGTTTGGCATAAAAATTAGATCTAGTTTTTAAAATATATGTATAAATAAAAAATATCACATGAACATGTTTAATCTGCGAATTAAAATTATCATAGCAGATATTTAAAAGTTAGATTTAATTTTTATGCCAAACTGATATTTTTAATTTAGTGAATTTAAAATATCTGTTTTTTATATTTGTATTTTTTGTCAAACACATATTTTTAATTTGCTTGATTAAAAATTAGATTTAATTTTTATGTTAAACTGATATTTTTAATTTATTGAATTTAAAATATTTTCTTCTTATATTTGTATTTTTTTGGTAAACACATATTTTTAATTCGCTTAATTAAAAATATCATAGGAGAAATTTTTAAATGTATTAAAAATATCATAGGAGATATTTTTAATTCGATTTAAATTTTATTTTATTAAATAAGCTGATATTTTTAATTCAATGTGATATTTTTAATTCCGACTGAAAGTTTGGACATCCCTGGCATTACAAATTAATTTTATCGCTAGATGGCGGCACAATAACTGAGATCTACGACATACGTGAGTCCGATGTCGCACTGACCCAGCGTGTGCAGAACAAGGACAGTGCGCGTTAGTTTGTTGTTGGAGTGGGTCGGTTTTTATATCGTTTGGAATAACAGGGGTATCCAAACTCTCAACCAGTCGGAATTAAAAATATCACATTGAATTAAAAATATCTGCTTATTTAATAAAATAAAAATTAAATCGAATTCAAAATACCTGCTATGACATTTTTAATACATTTAAAAAATTGTCATAGGATATTTTTAATTAATCGAATTAAAAATATTTGTTGAGCAAAAAATACAAATTTTAGAAGCAAATATTTTAAATTAACTAAATTAAAAATATCAGTTTGGCATAAAAATTAAATCTAATTTTTAATTTAGCGAATTAAAAATGCGTATTGAGCAATAAAATACAAATATAAGAAACAGATAATTTAAATTCGCTAAATTAAAAATATCAGTTTGGCATAAAAATTAAATTTAATTTTAAAATATCTGCTATGATATTAATTCGCAGAATAAAAATTCTTGTGTGATATTTTGTATCTAATTAAAAATATGACTTTATTGTTAACACATAAAAATAATTACTGAATAAAAAATAAAACGGCGCCCCATAGACATCACAAAGTCTTTCACAAAACTGAATTTATATAAAAACAAAATTAACTTATTATTTAAGAGTTAAAATCAATCAATTTCATTCAAAGAACCAAACCCTTTTCTTCGAACACTAAGAATTTCTCAGAAAAATTTTACTATAAATTGTATGGAGTTGCACTTAGATAAGGTATACCTATATTTAAAAATCTTATAATTTTTTAAAGCTAAAAATAAATTAAGAAATAAATTTTCTGCCAAACATTTTCTTAATAAAAACTATTTGAGGCAACTCTCTAATAAAATTTTTCTATGTAATCGGCTATGCATTTATGGTGATAAATATGTAGGTATATTAATTATTTAATAGTACCTTTCTATTAACCTCTTGCTTAAGGCATCTGTAATAAACTCGAATTTTAACCTTAAATCTAATGATTTATACCTAAGTACTTCCTATTTGTTTTTGTAGTAACCAGTTCTTTCTATGTAGGTATAATAAATTTTAAAAATCTGAATACTCCATATTTTTAAAACATAAAAACTCGGGCAGAGTCAAACATTCCTAAACCAAAAAATTTCAGAAATCACAATAATTTATATATCCTGAAAAAATAGTCCTAGGTACTTAATCAGTACCATGTCAGTACTGAAAACCAGGAAAAATAACTCAACCATAATTTTAAATGCAAAACCTTTTTACTAATCTCAAATTGTTTGTAAGTACAAAAATATAAAAAATATTACGTCTAAAAAAGTAACAAACCTATCATAACTTTAATTTAGTTATCATTATAGTTAAAACACAGGAAATCTATCCAAGTGTGTAAATAAACAACAGCCAAACAATCAGCGACAAACAAAACAACTTCTTGTTTTATTTGTAAACAAAGGAATATCGTCACAACAACGCTATTAGCGCGTATAAATAAGTTGAACTTTGTTTTCGACCAAAAGAAACAACAATACGTATTTGTTTTCAGTAAAAGGTAGGTAAGTAGACAATATTTATTGTTTTTCAAGTGTTTAAATAACAATTAATCAATTAGGTTTTGTTTGTGTAAAAAAAGAGGTTTTCAAGTTCATAGTATATGAAATAAAATCGTTGCCAAAATGATATTTTAGATATATCGCGGATGAACAGAGAGGGCTTTGGATCCATGAAAGACGTGATAGAGGGAGACACGTTCCCATTGTCTGTGTTATTTATGTACGATGCGATAATATCTGAAGTAATTATTGTTGTAATTGCCTTTAACCCTTCTGTATATTTATATGCACTGATTCCCATCAATAAAATATTGTGTATTTCAAGATTTGTTTTGATTCTTTGTATCGGCTACTTAACAAATTAAGTTGAGAATATTCAGTTTTGTCACGTTTTCTAGGAGATCATCTGGATAATATTAGCCGACTGCCTACTTACTTACAAGTTATTATTAAAAGGTATTCATCGAGTATTAATGATTTTGGAAAACCGACACAGGACCATTGTCAAACAAAAGGATTGTAAGAGCTTCTTTATTTTCTGCGGTCAAAATTTAAGTATTTGGCTTCTTATCATTCAAAAGGGTGTAATAAGGATATAAAATTATTACCACAAAATTGCTATTTTCGTAGATTTTAAAAGCCATTTGAAATTGCAATTTTATTCGTCTTGGGTAGGTAGATATTCTCGAATTAAAAAATATTTTATTAGTTTTTTCTTGCCTTAAATTTCGACAGGTATTATGACGAGGTAGAAACAAATGTAAGTTTGGTTTTGGATGAATTGTACCTCATCAAAATGCATGCAATCTTAAGGTAAATAATAAATCGCTAATTGTTTTTTGAGTATTTTGACAGAGGAATTTTTTTCAAGAAAATTATAATGTAATAAAAGTTAATTGAGATTGTTGATTCATTGAAGAAACCACAAAAAGCGTTTGATAAAAGTGCGTGAACACATTGACTACGTGAATAATAGGGTTAGTTCAGTAATGTGTCACTCGTGTTTTTCCTTTGTTGTAAACCCTTGTATGAGCTAATTGAATGACACGAGGTATTTAACGGTTGACCATAAAATTGCAAAATACAAATTAGCCTAAAATTCCTTTAAATGTTTTATTTCCACTTGATGTGATTTTAAAAAGAAGAGTTTATTTTTGTGCTGATAGGTGGATAGAGAAAAATTCGAGAGTTGCGTTTGAGAGGAACTCTCGCTAATACTATCGAGGAGTGTAATTTACGTTCACAAGCCAGCAGCCAGTCCATTAATTAGAGATTTTTAAGCACGAAATGATGCGCTTATATTAATTAATTATTGCTTCGTACGTTGTGTAGCAAAAATACCCGCTAGGTATAATTAGTAATCGGGCAAGTAATTAGTAAACGTAGAGAATGCGCAGAGCTGGCGTGGTGGGGTAAGCGAGAGGGCGAGGCCTGGTGGCGGGCTTGCGCACCATTGGTCCGCGCGAAACATGGCAGGCGTTACTGTCAATCACTGGCAGTGGTGGGGATTGCGAGAAGAATAGATTGGAGAGTTTATTTGAAAGAGTCATAACACAGAGTCTCGCCGTACAGCGCGGAGGTGAATGTTTTAGTAAAGTGCTGTTGTGATAGTGAGTTAAGTGAAGCCAGCAAGCTGTTTTCTCCGACGGAAAGCATGTTGACTATGGAAACTGATCTGAAAGGCGGTAGCCTGCACGCTACCATGCCGCCTCATCACGGCCTCCAGAGCTACGGCTCTTTGAGCGCTCTGGGACAGGCACCCATGCACAATCTAAGCCAGCATCCGCACCAGATATCGCATCATCAACCCCAGGGACCTCAAATACACCATCAGCACCAGCCACAGAATCATCATCAACAATCGCATCAAACAAATGCGCAACATCAGCCACACAATCAGTCGCCGACCAACAATAACAATTCCGCAAAGGCGCAAAATATGGAAAGAGTGAAAAGACCGATGAATGCCTTTATGGTGTGGTCAAGAGGACAGAGGAGGAAAATGGCTCAAGAGAACCCAAAAATGCACAATTCGGAAATATCGAAAAGACTGGGTGCCGAATGGAAATTGTTGAGTGAAACGGAAAAGAGACCTTTTATTGACGAAGCGAAAAGGTTGCGCGCCGTGCATATGAAGGAGCACCCCGACTACAAGTACAGACCACGTCGTAAAACAAAGACGTTGCTCAAGAAAGACAAATACCCGTTGGGACCTTCGAGTTTGCTGCCGACGTCGGAACAGGCGAGGAACGCGGCCTCGGCCGTTCAACAAGTAACCGCAAGGGACATGTACCAGATGCCGAACGGCTACATGCCCAACGGTTACATGATGCACGACCCCAGTGCATACCAACAACAGTACGGCGGTGCAAATTACGCGCGCTACGACATGTCGCAGATGCAACACAGTGCTTACATGAACGGCGGATACGGTTCGTACGGGCCTGCCACCGTCCCTAATAGTGCGGGTTCGCCTTATGGAATGCAACAAGCCAGTTCGTCGCACAGCCCCTCAGGATCGAGCATAAAGTCGGAACCGGTGTCGCCCAGTTCGGGGCTACACACGCCGACGCCCGGCGTCGGCATCAAGCGGGAGTACGGCGGCCAGCCGCAACAGGGCGACCTCCGCCAAATGATCTCCATGTACCTGCCCACCGATGGATCGCAACACATGCAACATCAGTATAGTTCGTCGCCGGACCCGATGGGTCCAGGGCCTTTAGCGCCCCTGGCACATATGTGAGAACCGCTTTTCGCGGCTCCGGACTTGGACGTGGTGCCGCATCTGTGAACTGTGTAAATACAACACCACTTCTCATCTATATCTCATCTACTTTATTTTGTTTGTTGTTTATATTCTGCTCTCCTCCTCGGTTCCTTAAACCAACACAGTATTCTCAAATTATCGCCGAAACAACGCAACGCGATCTTTCATTCATCCACGTAAGTGTTGTGGCTCTAGCGACCATTTTACTTTTATATTTATTATATTTACTAATACCAATCTGAGTACAAATTTCATATTTTAATATAAAATCCAGACCGTACGTACAGAACATCCACATCCCTATCCGGTGCGGATGCTCTGTTCCGACGCCTGTAAAAAATAAGTTTGCCTTGCTAAAACCACTACAGAAAAGTGTTCGAATGAAACATCGCCAATGCTAATCTCGACGGTTATTTATTAATTTTAGATGATGATTTTCACTATACGTTGTAAATAGTATTTTTTAATCGCGGTTGTAATATATAGATAATTATATTTTATATTATACTTTGTTTTCTGAAAAATTGACGCTTCCGTTGCATTTCCAAATTTCCCTTATTTTTAAGTAACCCGATGCAATTTCACTCTGTCAATTTGCCAATCCAACAAATTCACGCATTGAAGTTGTATCGCGTGATAAAGGCTTTAACAAATTCAGTTTCGTTTACTTTCATCAATGGGCGTCTATTTTTTTCGACAAAATTTTAAAAATTTAAGCGTTTTGTTCCGAAATGAACGATACCTGATGATCAGAGGTTAAGTACCAAAAACTTTTGTACATATTTTATTGGAATAATTAATTATGTTTCGACACAATGCGTCTTGTGTTTTATTTTATATTTTACAAATGTTTTTGTATTTATCTTGTAATAACTAATTCACAATATTTATTATTAGTTTTACATTATGCATTGTTTAGAACGAAAACAAATCTCCAAAAGCCCCAACTGTATGCATAATATTTACTTTAGATACATACATATTTATAAAACAAACAATAATTTATAAAACTCAATCACTTTAATTGTAGCACGTAGGTAAATATTATGATCGGTTTTTTAAACAAATTTTGACTTTATTAGCTTATCTCTTTGTTAATTATTGTTTCTCTAATAAATTTAAGATTTGTTTTAAATCTCGATGTCTGTGATGGGCTGACAAAAATTTAAAATATCACTGCTTTGTATATATAACTTTTAAGTTTTTTTGAATGTACAGTGTGTTACAGTTATTAGTCAATGGAACGAAAATGTGAATATATGAAATTGACAAGTTAACATTTTTTTGTTTTATTCCATTATCTCAAAACCTACAATCTAATGTTTGATCAACTATTGATCAAGCAAGTAAATTCAAAACTCATATTCATGAATATTTGATGCATAAAACTAACAACATAAAAATAAATCTCTGTCGCAGGGGTAGTTAAACGATTCGTACGTTTAACAGTGCATTATTCTTTCATTAGTTTGGGGAAGTGAGTTTAGCCAATCTGTGGCACACACCATTACCCTCATCATCTCATCAGCCTGAAAATTTAATGTCTTCTTCGTTCCACACGCAATTGCACTAATGCGTTGTGTATTTTCCCGATTTTCCTTTTTTAAATTATCGTTTTTTTCGACGGTAAACGCGTGCCTTTCTTTAACAAGTTTAACAAAAATTTAATCTTTTACAAATTTAAAGAAATACCGTGATTTTAATATTTTTCTAATTTTGCAATGAATACCTACATATATCTTTAAAACTAGATCTATTGTATAATTTGCATATTTATGTTCAGCGACCTAAATTAAGTTAAATACTATTTTCTACAAAAAATGCTTAATTTTTACACAAATTAATTTAATCTGGTAGGTACATTTTTTAGGAATTTCTATTCTTTAAAACCTAATAATTTTTTTTACAAATTTTGTTGTAAATCAGTCAGTCCATAGTGCTAATTTGTGTTTTGTGACTATTTGTTTTAATTGTTTTTTCCCTCTTAGTCGGCAAAAAACCCGTTTGGACCCATATGTAAATAATATACTCGACTACTGTCAGATTTACCTAACCTCACTTTCTACTTTTAATTATTATAATTATAAATTATTATATAATTTATAATTGTATGTTGTAGGTATGTATCGTTAACAAATAAACAATAATAATTTAAATATTGACTGAGAAGTTTATTTTGTGCTTCGTTCAATTGTAGGTCTTCACTACGCGTCGGCACAAAAAAACTCACTTCTCAGCCTTGTGATATAAATAACTAGAAAACAAAGCAGTTAAAAAAATTATTTTGTGTAAATATGTAATGTTTCTTATAATATTTCATTCATTATTTACCCGTTGTAAAACATCCTGTTACCTACATATGCATATACATGTAGATACTACTTTTTACAAATTGTCCAAAATTTTTAAATTTTTTTAAAGAAATTTACAAAAATGGTCAATTTATACACTAACACTATACCAAATAGTAATTTAATAAACAAATGTAATTTTTTTCAAAGGTTATAATTCACCACCAACATTTTTTTTTAATAAAAATGTGTTAATAATTTAAAACGACTATATTAATTATAATTAATATAGTCGTTTTAAATTTTGTTTCTGGCAAAACTGTCATTAAATTTGTCAACTGCTAGTCCGGTCAATCTAGACATTCGAAGGTACATAAATTTACAACAAGCTGAAAATCAGTAAAATTGTTCAGAATATAATTATAAATAAAATTTTAAAGTTCCCCATCATTCCCCTGTATGGAAAAATTTTTATTCAAGGTCAAAGGTCAAAAAAATGATTTTTCGTGATTTTCAGCAAAACGGTAAGTTTCATCATAAAAATACACCAAACAAAAATTGTAGATCATAAAATAATCTATAAAAAATGTATTAATACTTTTTTTCTACGAGCCACCGTTTCTGAGATATAACGATTCGAAAAGTTGTAAAAGTTATAATCGCCATAATATTCACACGTTTCCACGTCACCTATGAGGTAGTTTACTAAGCGCGTTTTTAAACGTGGTTTCCCCAGTAGGCCTATTTCACGGGTCACTTGTGATCCTGTTTAATTTGAAACTATTGCAAAATAACGGAAATTAGCAATGATTGGAAAAGATAATAGCGATGTAAATTTAAAAAAAGTACTGAAGTTTATTCGTCTGATTCGTAACATTTAAATTCTTTTTCTTGTTCTTCTTGATCTTCTTCTTGTTCTTGTTCTTCTTCTTGTTGTTCTTCTTCTTCATCTTCATCCTGGGTTCAAGTAAATTGCGTCAATAGCGATGTATCGCATCTCACCTCGTTGGAATTAAATGAATCCTCCACTGTTGGTGATTCAACATTAGAGCACGACCTGCCTTGACAATTCGTACATGCCAGAGAATAAAACAGTCCGACTTTTTTGCAACCACATTTAGCACTGCATCCCTTTTTGCAGTTGCAAAAAATTGTGTTCAGCAGTTTTTCCGGCGCAGGTGGGAGTAAAGTTTGAACTGGTTCTAATGTGTTGTTGACCAACTTCCAACCCTAGTCTGTAGGATCTAGCTGATAACCAAGCCACACTTGAACATGGTAATATACCCGAAAGCAACTGAGGTTGGAGGAAGACAAGCTAATTGAACTTGTTTTTTACTTTTAGAATTTTTAACGAAACATGCATATCGATACTTATCAAAGCAGGTAGCTTTTTTAGGAGCTCCGTATATAGAAAGAAGAAATCGAATGCCGATAACTTCTTGTCCCGAAGACCCTTTTCCTCGAGTTTGGACGAAAAATCTCCGCTCGTTCGAAAGTTAAGCGAAGACAACGGAACGTGCCAAATTTGACGAAAAAATCGAAAAAAAGTGGACTTGGACCTTTTCGACACCGGAAAAATTAGGTCCGCGGATAGGTCTCGTGGGCAGAAAAAAAGGATGCAAATTTCAACCTTCAACGGCCTCCGAGCTACGGCGCTTAGAAAAAAAGGATATACAGACAACGGAAAAAATAAATATTGCAAACGGGTCGAGAGAAATTTTTGAAATTGGCCGAACGAAATACACGAATCGACGGGAAAAATACCAAAGTTTGACATACTAAAATATGAGCTTCATCGAATAAAAACTAATCGGCCAGAAGCCCGTTTAATTTTTGTTGGGTATTTAAAAAAGTTAACCAATTAAAATCCTCGAAATCAAATCGATAAGGTGGCAATGACAGGTGGCATATGACAGGGACAAATGACAGGTGACAGATGACAGGTGACAGGTGACAGGTGACAGATGACAGATGTCAAGTTGACAGATGACAAATAACTAATGACAGTAGACAGATTACAATTGACAGATAACACATAAGGTGACAGAAGACGTGAGAAATATAAAATTCATCTTTAAAATTACTACCCAGTTTAGGTGGAGTGGTCGCGGCGCGAGTCCAACCCGCAGCGAGAACCAACTATAGCAGGTCAAACAATTGAACATAAGACAGATAATCTGTCATCTGTCACAGATTTTGTCTCAAGGTTACAATGGCGTATAAATTAATTAATTTATACCCAGTTCCTTAAGGGACTGGGTTTTATTTCACTTGATATTCTTATAGTTATAACTTATGTAGGTAATACCTACTAGGTATACTTTATATTTTAAGTGTAAGTTAAAATGACCTATAGAAAAATATTTTAACATAAATTACAACTCTAGAGATACGTGGCGTGCATATTATGACGATTACAACTTTTCGAATCGTTATATCTCAGAAACGGTGGCTCGTAGGAAAAAAAGTATTAATACATTTTTTATAGATAATTTTATAATCTACAATTTTGTTTAGGGTATTTTTATGATAAAACTTACCGTTTTGATAAAAATCGCGAAAAACTAATTTTTTTGACCTTTGACCTTGAATAAAAAATTTTCCATACAGGGGAATGATGGGGAACTTTAAAATTTTATTTATAATTATATTCTGAACAATTTTACTGATTTTCAGCTTGTTGTAAATTTATGTACCTTCACTGTTATTTTTTGGTCTAATTTGACCGGACTATGCCTTATTTGATTTATTTACATAACAACCGCTATTAGACGTAAAATATTTGTTTTTTTAATATATATTTTTTTGAAACTTGAATGCTAGGTGAATTTTTAAAGACTCAGTTGAAGTTGAATAAATAATTATATAAATTCATTTAAAACACATTATTTTTTATGTATTTTTTTTTATTTTAACATTAAAAATTAAATTAAAAATGCTTAAAAAATTATAATACAATGTAAAAAAATAATTATTAAATTTAAAAGATTTTGTTTGTTGTTTTTTCGGTGTTAATTTAACAAAATATCTTGCCCTTTTAATAAATACTATTAAAAAAAAGAACAAGTTAATTATACCATCAGTATTATACGAACAACAATATTAGTTAGTTATATTATAATAAGTATGTAACAAAATATAATTTTAAATACTATGTAACATTAACGACTCACTTAAACCAAAACACGTTTTATGATGTGCAGCTATTTAA